GAGATCTAATTTCTAGTGCACAGAATAATTTCAAAACTGCCTGCTAATTTCCAGCACCTGTCAGTGTTGGGATCTTCACCTCATTGTAATGAAATAAAACAGTATTTATATTTTACAGCTTAGAAAAGGACAATCATTCATAAGTGTTAAGATATCATTAATCACCAAGATGCTAGGACCCAGAATCTTTTATAAGACATGCACAGACCAAGAGCTTTGCTTGCAAAGATCCCACTGGAGTGGATTGCTGCAGATCTCTGGGTCTGATACTGTGCAGGGCGAAAAGCAGCCACATTCTGTGCAGTTATGTTTTTTTCTTTTCCTTTTCCTTTTTTTTTTTTGCTAGGTCATGCTTCTGTGTCTGCAGGCAGAGTAATCAAAGAAATAAACATATACTGAAGAAACACAGATTACCAGACAAGCCCGTGTTTAGTGGTTAGATGATACCTGGTGATGTGCATTTTTTGCTTTCAGCTACTGCAAACACCACGTAGCAAGGAAATGATATTTTTCCTCCCCTCTAAACGCACCCTAGTCTGAATTCTAAGCCCTTCAGATATTTTTTTTTATCATAATGCAGATCTACTGCCTATGTCAAGTCTGTAATTTAAAAGCTTTAAAAACACATATAGCTGCAATCCTAAATGTTAATACAGTAACTTCTTCATATTGACCACATAAGCAAATAAAATAGGTGCAGGATTCACTACGATACCCACCTGCATCCCCCCAGCCCACTTTATAATCATGCTTCAACTGGCATTTGTAAAGGCTCTTATGAACCATTAATCCATACTCCTACCTCCTTCTTCACTCTCACCTGCCCTGCAAGGCTGACAGAGCAGCTGGGATTCCCCACATGACTCAGGTGATGTACCTGAAGAAGGTCACAGCTGTGGCACTTCATTTGTACATGGGGCTGTTTCCCAGAACTTGACTCTTCTGTTTCTACCTACTTCTCTGCCCAGGATCCCCGTCACTTTTCCTGAAGGCTGGGCAAGAGAAAAGCAAGGCTTGCTGGAACACTAGACTGCCAGGGATCTTCACTTCTAGAGGTATCCCTCAAACTCGAGCCATCTGGTACAGATTAAAATTACCTCCAGATTTATCTGAATGCATTCAGGGCTACTGTTTGATTAAAAAGAGCAGAACAGGGAACCATTAACTGCTTCACAGCGGAGGCAAGAGAGTTCACCTACAAACATTTGCGCCAGTAACTTCTTTTTAAAACACAAAACAAACACCAATCTTGTGAGCAGAACTATTCTGGTGAAGATTATGGGTGGGATTTCTTAAAAATTGCTCTGCTTGTAAGGGCTGAAAACAGATCTCCAGAAATAATCTGTAAGGAGGCTCTGCTAAGGAGCAGTGGCTCAGTCTCAGTCACTTGCTGTCACTCATGTTTTCCCCACACTATCCTTATCTACCATGTGAATTAGGTTCCAGTTTTGTTTCAGGAAGGGCACAGCAAACTGCAGGGACAACTCCAGTTCAATAGCGCCACATGCTGTAGAAAGTAACCACGACAAGTGCAAAGTGAAGACGAAAATCCTAAATCTCACAACGCCACCAAAAAACCCGAGTGTAAATCAGTGACACGATAGTTCTACACCCGAATTCGAAACCTCACTTAAGACTTATTAGTTACAATAATATTTTAAATGTAATTTCTTTCTCACATATAAAACCACTGTAATTGCCCACTAAATACTTCTATTTTCAAACACAAAATAGATCAACAACAAAAACCAGTCCCCCCAAACCAAAGATGTAAACAATTAAAAAACCCCATATAAAGAGCCTTATTTCTCTATGCATGCAATTTTCAAGATGGTACTAGGAAAGTTTTTAACCCAAACCATCTTTTTAAAAATACAATATTTATAAACTGTACAGTTATGAAAAACTCAGCTGAACAATGCTGGAATTGTCAGGACTTGTGATCACATTTCCTCCCAGTCTGGTGCCACTTGCAGATACAAATAAATACCTGGAGAGTTGTTGATATGTTAAGGATTTGGAAAGGAAAAGTCTCATTCAGAACAGCTCTTTTCTGCAATACACAAGGTGTTTGATGCCAGGAATAAGATTTCAAGGCACTTTCACACACCTTAGAGGGGTGGCTGAGGGTGGCACAGCACAGCAATGCTGGAGCTGCCACAGCCAGCAGCTGAGACTACAATTTCAGGAAAGAACAGAGCAGTGTTTCTCCAGCCAACTTATTTTTTCCTACCTCACCAGCATCCAAACCAGCAATATGCCATAAAAAGGTATCAGCATTAAAGCAAAATATGTATTGATAGACAAATACCTGTGAACAGTTCTGCAAGGTACCATAGAATCCAGTCTAGCATTCAACAGAAATATCACACACATATTCATCCAAAGGTGAATCTGATGCAAAAGACAGTATCTGGAGGGATTATCTTTGTATTGGAAATGTAATAGTACTGAAACTGTAGCACAGTAACACAGATCTCCAAGGTTTTGCTATTCTTCCTTAGACAGCAAGCCCCAGTGGACTGTTTAATAAGAATACATTAATTTACCTAGCCAGTTTTCTTTTTCTATAATAAGTTTGATTTTATTATATGCACATACCTACAAAGATGAGTTAATTAATGAACCAAATGTGCATATTTATATAGAAGCCTTGTTCTACAATTCCACTGTACTGTTCAGCCTTCTCTAACCACTGCCTGTTTTGCTGTATGCAAACACATGAGCAAATAAGAAAATAGTCTCAAAAATTATTTCAGTATGTCTGAAGCATGTGGAATTTCCATTATCCATTGTGTAAATAAAACAATTCAAGCAACCCTGAATATTTATATCAATGCATATTAGCTTAGTCATTTGATATATGTCTGATTTTTCTGCTTCCAAGTGCGAGCCTTTTTATTGCATATTTGTAGATAACTGCCAGCAAGAGACAGTATCAGAGGATTTACAACTGTGAGGGTAGAATGCCATCTGCTGCTATACTTGCTGCTACAGCAGGATAAACAGAAGAATCATGCAAGTTCTACCTTCTGCCTTTCTCTGAATTGTAAAATGCATGCTAACATCTCATTTTGTTTTATTACAAAATAAAAGAAAACTACCCCCAAACTAGGGAGCTCAGATGCCTTTACACACAGGTTTTGTTATGAGATCTGGCTAAATAATGTGATGTGGACCACAGGATTCTATTAAAGTACATGAGAAACTATTCTATCAGGCCTAGTAGAATAAAGCAAAATAAAATTGTAATTTGACTACAGACTAAATTATACTGGTAGATAATGTAATCAAACTATTTAAAAAGTGCACACTTTGAAAATACATTTGCAGTGAACTGTGGAGTTACTTGACTGCTTCTAGAATTTAGAAATACCCCTCAAACTTTTAGGCCCCATGAGAGCCTTGCAAACACTTTCCTAGCCTGGTTTCACACAAGCCACATGCCATAAGGAAAGGCAGGCTTTGGAATATGGTATATGACCAGTTTCATTTATGTCTTTTCTTCCCCACATAAGTCTAAACACTTATGGAGGTAGAGAGAAAAAACAAATCCATTTTCTTATATTAACCCTACAGTTTTCCCCCATGTGGAAAAAGTGTTGGTAGATCTTACTTCTTTCTGTTCAAAGTGCTCTTCAAAAAATCAAATAGAGAACTTATCCAGCATTTGACCCAGTAATGAACCATTCAACTTGCCCCCCACACAATGCCAACTGCAGAGACAGTCTTATGGCTATTCAAAGCATGTTGCTGAGCTGCATAAATTCATATGTATTGAACACTGGTGTAGCTGGCAACATTCAAGTTTTAATTTCTTTTTTTTCTACTGAAAACAGAGATCAAGGTGATTAAGTATAAATACTGCACTTCAGTATTTTGCCCACTGCTTCACCCACACACACACGCTTGTTCCAGCCTTCTGTAAGGACTGACATACAAAGCTTGGGCATACAAGCTCCTGTAACAACCTGTTGCAGCATCCTAGATATTGACAGAGCTTCTCCATACAGTTACACCTCAATCAGAGAGCAAGGTGAAATCAAATCCCTCAAAATCGACTAGAAACAACAAATAATCAGGGAATTACAGCTACTGTGTTGCCTCTGAATTGCCAACAACAGGAGGTTTGCTAATGAAAATACCAGGAGCATGAGTACATTTTTACTGTGCACCTTCTGTTACTTAGTGTTAGAGCAGTGCACCATATTTAAAAATAACAAATGGGCTTTGACAAGTGAAAGGAACACATTGCTTTCCTGAAAAAGTCATTCAGCATAGCATAAAACTTTAGTTTTAATAGGCAGTGAGGAACTGTTCAATCGAGTCGAAGCACAGTTCTAACCTGAAGTGTTCTTGAGGCTGGGACACTCAGCAGCAAGCAGGGACAGAGTGCCACCCAAGTGAAACCAAACTCAGTCACTGTCACAATCCTTGCTAAAGATTTGCTAAAGGCTCCAACAGAATTCTTTCAGTCTTTCTCAAGATCAATTGATCTCATCTTACTGACATTCTCTTTATAATACCTATATTATGACTGTCCCCTACAGTTAAGGTGAATTAACTGCTGCTTTTTCAAAAAATGCATCTTACTTTCCCCTCTTCCCTATTTAAAATGCAGAAAAGCCAGCTAATGGGAGAAATACAGTGGAAACCACATAAATGAGTAACTGTCAAAAGAACAGAACTATTAAAAGAATAAATCTTGTGTAGCCAGCTGTGAAATATAACACAATCTAGCAGAACCCAGCTAAATGTTTGAAATAAAAAATTGAAATGCAAAGTAACCTAAAATTGTTTAATGAGTAAAGCTGTTAAAACCTTAACTCACTGCATGCCAGAACTCAAAAGCATACATGGCAGGAAGCCTGCTGAGATGAACAACAAATTCATCACTTCTCTGTCTGCCCATCTAGCTGTCCAGCTAGCCAAGCAGCCACCAGCTAAACTCATTGGCAGGTTTTTGATTTCCAATGTTGTCATTGACAGCAAATATTTACCTTTGAGGTGGGCTGAAGTTGGTCTCCCACATACGTTTTACGGAACTGATCCAAGAACCACAGAATTGCCAGTTCTACTTTTTCATTACTGGACTGTGGTAACTGGGCATCCATCAAAGAGATCAGCTGAAAAACCCTTAATGACAGAGAAAAAACATTTTCAGGAAGAACTCTCACATGAAATTATATTGTCACAGCTAATTTGGTTAGGACGCCATAAGCCATTTTTTTTGTTTGTCTCAGTTTCTTTTAGGATTTTGTTCTGTATAGATGCTAATTAGGCTAATTGATCACTATTGGATATAAATATCAGCATAATGCCTTTCTAATTACTTTGTCACTAGGCATTTTCTCAGATACATATCTTATACTGTGGGGAGTTTGTAAAATGATTTCTTCTTTCTTACGGCACCAATTCCATGATGAAAGAGACAAATTTGAGAAGCATCAGCCGCAATCAGCAAGTGCAAGATTAGAGCTGTTCAAGTTCTCTGAAAATTGAAACAATTGTACTTAAAATAAGTTTATCTGTACAGTACATAATCCACTTTCTGCTTTATTTCTTTTCACTTCTGTCTCTCCTAAAACATCTAACATGTATTCTCTGACTTAAGTCCTTACTTGGTATGTATCTCCATATTATCAGGACTGATTTAAAAAATCAATTTCAGCTTATGTCAGATAGCAAAATTTAGTTGGTTTTTTTTTTAAAAGGAATTATACCTTTATTTAATTTCCCATGTTCTTCTGCTATGTATTCCATGAAAACCTCATCCCTTAGCAATTAAAATATTATTCTCAATTTTTGCCAATTCTGAAATACATAGTTACTGGATTAGAAGTTAGTAATTATTTCATCTGTAAGGCTGTATATTAAAACCTCTAATTTTTAATAAAAACATAGTGGAAGATTTCTAACACCACAGAGCCTCTGGGTAGATGAGGAAGGTAAGAAATAAAGGAGATAAAGTAAAGCTTTTTATCCAATTCTAAGTTGTATGCCCTTTTTCATGTGTTAGCTAGTGGATGTAAATAACAGGATCAAGTATGTGCCATACTTGTGGATGAAAACAAAGATTAAGGAGGTGTTTGCCACAAGGAACACGACATTCACAAAATTCCCTAGCTCACACCTTGCCCTAAAACTTGAGAAAGAAGACCCCAGCACACACATTTTGAAATCTAGAGCCTTCTTTTTTGTTCCAAGCTCTAGACTGAAAATAAGTCTAAATTTTCAATGATTGACCAACAGTTCCTCTGCATTTTTTCACTCACAATAATTAAAGGAAGTAATGCAGAAAATAATAGCATAACTCTATTAAAATTAATAGCTGTATATACAAGGATAACGCACAAATGAAAACAGGTAACTACACTGGCATATCTGAACACTGCTTATAGTAAGAGACACATTTGTCTTTAATCCTTTTATCTTCCTTTGAGGCACAGTTTTGAAATTAGAGCCTTAATGACTCCTTCACTGCTTTAGATGATGAACCAGGAAAGATTAAAACCCGTGGAACAGTCACAACCCACAGAAAGTCTGTGCTGAACACCCACCATCCAAAAATTGGAAAACAAGTGAGACACTTAAATTCAAAATACCTGCTGATCAAATGGTCATTTTAAAAAAAGAAAGAATCCAAGTAAAGAACTGACAGCAAGCAATGCATACCGACAGGATAGTTCTCCATCCATGGCATCATGTTCTTCAGTACTAGTGTATGTTAATCGTCCTCCCACAAAAGTACCCACAAAATAGACAAGCCATGCCAGGCGTCCTAATATGAGAAAGAAAACAGAGCAGTTAAGGATTATAAACTATTATGCTGGTACAATGCACATCTAAACGGTATCAGCAGTTCTGTAAGGTCTCAGAATGCTGTCAAGAGAATGGTTAGGCTTCTACCTTTACCAGATTTAAAACCTATCCAGACAAATCTGCCGACAAATAATTCTGAGCAGAACTGACAGAAAAACTAGAACAGACTATTAATCTGGACATGCTTATATATAAAACACAAAAGAATTGACATAAAAAACAAACTAAACAAACTCTGCCTGGTAAAATCAGACATACAGTTGATCCTCCCTTTCTGCCACAAGTTACTTCAAGGCATGGAACAGTCTGAGATCTGTAACAGTAAACACTCTGAGACAGGGAACAAGACTGTTGAGATAAGACAAGATATATGAGGAAGACTTCCAAATATCTTCTCATACTGTTCCATTCCTAATAATCTGGAAGGACAGTGTCAGCTGTCCTACAACAAACATACTTCCTGGGTTCAAGACCTGTGCTGCTCACAAACAGGACACTTCCAAGGAAAAGCTCATCAGACACACTACACATTGCAGAACAAACAGCTGTTAATTTAGGACACTAAAAGACTGCACTGTAATTAGCAAAACACCAAGGAGCCAAAATGTCTGGGAGAACAGACATTGCTCAAATGAATTTAGCATTAACAGAAGAATTAAATGCCCATTAAGAACGGCCGTTTGAAGGTGGATCAAAAAGCAACAGTGAAGTGGTGCTGGCAGGTTCAAAGAACAGAGCCACCACTTTGGCCAATAATCTTTTTTAAAATAAAAATCCGTTATCCTATTTACAAATTGTACTAGCTCATTCTTAAGCACACAGTTACTTTTCTGAGGATTCTCCTGTTCTCTTAGGTCAATGCCAATTAATAAGTACGACTTCTTTCCCTCTGTTATACCTTCACTACAGAAAACTTTCAGAGCATTTGCTTTTGCAATTACTGAGGCAGACAGCATCTTTTCTTTTAGAAAATAATAATTGCTGTAATAATCTGTAATTATGGTTTATAACAGCAATAATCCCAAAGAAATCAGTCATTACCATAGATCACAAGCAATCATTAACTACTGTTAATGACCCATTTCTTGGGGATTATTGTTTTAGTAAACCATGACCGCATCACTATTGATACAGAGAGCAAGACAGCATAATAAAATGAGATCTTAATATTACATTAACTTATTTTGTAACATTAAAAGCCATTAAACATCCAAATTTAACTATGTACATCTAGGGGATATTACAGTTATTGTTCAACATGAGCACAAATGTTTAGTTTGCAAAAAGAAACACAATATTTAAAGTGCATGGAATGTTCTCTAATTCACAATGGCAACCCCCAGAGCAATGACAGGGAGAGATTCCAGCTGGTTGTTTCCCTTTGGCCCCCATGTCTGGGGAATGGAGTAAAAATTCAGCCTGCAGCTGGTCAATGAAGTCAGATCATTAATGAAAGCTCTCTCAAACAAAAGCTCATAGGTGCATGGAAGAAAGTGAAAGTAATAAAAAAGAGAAGGAGGAGGTCTTCTATAAATTAGGGATAAGCTAGCTCCTACATAGAAGAAAATCAGCATGTAAAGATGCAACAGCCATAAGATAACTGTATCAGGAAAGAGCCAGTAGTTATAAAGACAATTTAAGTGAGACAGAGAGGACTGAAAGAGGTATATGAAAAAAAAAATATTAAAAATACTTATTATGCTTACAACTTAAACTACAATAAATTAATTGAGTTTCTTGAAAATTAGGTAATTCATCTTAACCGAGCAGTACAAAATAAATTAAGGTTTTAAACATTACATTAATTTTTACAGAAAGATAAATGCAAAAAGAATGAAAGTTAGCATCTTCATTTTCAAAAAATGTTCATCAAGTTCCAGCTGGTTCCCATGAGGGCACCTGAGCCACTAAAATGTTGATTTCCAGAAATTAGAAGTTTTTTACAGCTCTCATGCCTATATCCCAAAGATGCAACAAGATGTTAGAACAAACACATCAACTGCCAATGTGTCCTATTTAACACAAAGACAAGTCTAGTGAAAATGTGGTGCAAGGTGGCTTGGATCATTAATTTCTAGTTTGAGATTAGGTCTAGGTATATCTGTCAAAAGATCACTCTTTTTCATATCCAAATATATGGTAATTGGCATATAAAACACAGTCTAAAAATTAGTTAAATACTAACCTTCCTGAATTGTGATTTCTAATGGATTCCTACTAGAAGAGTGCAATAGTTTTTGGTAGTTTTGTGCATTTTGGTCAAACAACTGTACAAGAAGAGTACAGGTCTTTTCATATTCACACCTGCTAACTGTGCACAGTTGCTCCAGCTGTTGGAAAACTGTAGCTGCATCATCCAGTGGATCTTCTAAACCATCTCTGGAACAGAGATAAAAATTAACCACTTAACCACTATTGCTTAAAAGCTGATGCCGTTTTCCCATCCAGATCCTGAATATATCAGACACAAGATCTCATTTTATTGCCATACATACCCAGTACACATCCACACAAACACAGAACAGTATTCTCTTTGTGCCTTCCTCTTAGCACATAGTTCAAAAAGGAAAGAAGAGAGGAGATGAGGCTGGCAGTATGAACGCAGAAGGGTAAATCCTGAAGAACTAAGGTGTCCACTGAGCCTGAACAGACTATTAAAAACCAGCATCTTTCTCAGAGGATGATGGAAGGAAAGTAGAATACTTGCTAGAAATGGATTTTGCATATTTATCAAATTAAGCCCAAGGTCGTGATACCAAAGCCACAAGCAAGCTTCAGTAAAATGCCATGCAACTGCATCATAATCTTTGTTCTGTTCTGCTGTGAACAAGCTGTGAGCCTATGGAATGCCTGCAACAAGACCATTGCTCTTGCCTTTCACAACAGGAAAGGTTTATTCATTGAAAGGTTACCCTTTTGTTACAGAGGAAACATTCTACAGATGAAGAAAACACCCAAAAAGCTAACAAAGCCAACACTGTGAACATCCAAACTTTCCAAGACAGACATTGGCTGAAAATGCTCATGTTCAAGATGGGCTGAAATAGACCTCTTCTCAGCTATTGACAAACATTTGAAATAAAAGTTCTTCTAGTTTGTAGAAAAGCATACTCCTGTAGACCCTTCATAAAAGAATGTTTAGTTCTTCACTCACCTTTACTCAAAAGGGAGAACAGTTATTCAAATCCCCCCAAAGGGCAAAAGTGCCTTTCCTTCTATTGTTCCAATCTTCTTTGTCTGAAGGACCAGCTGGATGGTTTCTTAATGGTGGGTGATGCTAGTGACTATACTTGTAAGAAAAATGGTCATTTCAGAAAATAGTATGTGTTTGCAAACATCTCAGCCTATCTTCTTTGGAGTAAATGGAAGAAATCTTATGAAATCAGCTCCCAGACATCCTGTTTTCTCAAGAATAGTCTAGATGCTCGACTTTAAAGTCTACATGTGATATTGCTGTCTACAGGAACCCACACTGAGGATCCTCATAGCATGACAGAATAAGACAGTACCACATTGATGTACAAATCACTTAGAGCTAGGAATGGATCCACGCCAACAGCACTACCGAGACCTTCATAAGAATGATACACACTGGTAGAAGATCAATACTTTACTCATCTTCTCCCCGTTGGCTTTGTTCATATATTAGAAAGCTTACTCCTTCACAACATAACAAGGACATCCAGAGGAAATTGAGTTTTCAATGCTGATGGTGACGCTGATGAAGACAACAGCATATTTCAATGGAGCTGGTCATGCTACATGGTTTGACCCAGAAGCTCAAGAGTTTCAAGTCTGGAAGCTGATATGGGATGAACCACTAAGTAGAGAAGAAAGCCGAGACATGAAGATTCAACCCTGAGAATCCATTGCAGAAGGCTGAATGAAGAAGATAACTTAAAAATGTCAAGTGTAGCCTGGTTGAGAGCAGGCCCAGGGAAGCTGACTCTACATCTGCAATCAGCTGTATGTTCTTCCCCGTCCTAGCACTGGACCACTGGAAGCTCCCCTAGGCACTATTAATTCTTGTTCCTGAGACAGTGATAGAGAAGCTCACAATCTTGGACCATTAGAAAGTCAGCCTTTAACATACCTGTGGTGATAACATCAGACAAGTAACACCAGCTTAGACACCAATAGTAAAGAGACAGATCACACAATGTGCAGACATGAGATGCTGGGTAAGCTGAGAGACAATAGGACAATGATGAAGTTCAAGGTTCTTCCTCACAGAAAATGAACAAATTACGTTGTCTCAGTAACGTTAATCAGAAAAGGAAAAGGAGAGAAAGAAGCTTGTTCTGCTTTTCTGAAAGAAAAGCTTGTTCTGCAGTCCTGTAGTCTGACAGCAGATCTTACTAGCAGGAATTCATAAAAGCCCTTGCAGAAAATCAAATCCTTTCTGAAATCTAAACAGTTTTTTCTTATTTGCTATATAGTGTTGAGTATAAGGTCATTTATGTAAACTACTGATAAGAAGATTTGAACTAAGAAATTTTAAATTGGCCAATTTCAATCTTGCCACTTTCTAGCTTGTTGGATTTGGTCTCACCCTTTCTTGTGGGGGGGTTCATTCTGCTTCCCCCATCACCCTGCCCTCCGTGGCCCTGGAAAGGGACGCATTGAGAAAACATGTCACAGCTAAATAATACAGTTAATTTAGACAGTCTTAAACAAAGGGGGGAGAAGGGAAAAAAGCCTTTTTCCAAAACACACAGGCCCATGAGAGGAAAAACAATTAGCATTTACATTTTATTTTGGCCTGGATTTAATAAGTAAAAGGAGCAATTATTGGCCAATGAAGATAACTTAAAGAAATCACCACCGCAATCAGAATCAGTGTAGTTAGATTTTCAACATAATCAAAATATAATATGCCGACATATCAGAAACTTAAACATTCCAGATGACAGTTTTTAAAGTTGCAATTCCAAGTTTACCTTATAACTACAGGAACACATTCCAGTCTAGAAGTAATAAAAGCTTTTGTTATCTCGGGTGCATATGTATCTAAGAAGTGGGGTTCTGCTGTTTTCACAAAGGGCACAGATGCCACCATTCTCTGCCACAGAGTCAGCAAATAATGAACACTATTTGGAGCAAACTCCCAATGCTATAAAAAAACAAAACATACTTCTGTTAAAGCATCCCAGTGTCAAACCGTAGTTGCAAAACATGATGCTTTTATCTTAAGTAGTCTTAGACAGGTACTGAAGGACTGAGACATTCTATGGCACATATTAGAGAGTAGAATCACAGAGTCATAGAATGGTTAAGGTTGGAAAGCACCTTAAAGATCATCAGGTTCCAACCTCCCTGCTGTGAGCAGGGACACCAGAGTAGAACCAGAGTTACTTGTAGGCACTCAAGTGAAATCCATGGTTTGAAACACAGAGCTAGGTCAAGATTCTGACACAGTGTGTGGTGAGATTTAAGTGCTATAAAAGGGCCATTATAAAATCCTATTGAATCCTGTTGAATGGGAAACCAGGCCTAGAGCCACCTAACAGGACACATAAAGAACAGAAATGAATCTCAACTTTCTTTTCGCTTCCAAGCTCATGGAGCTGCCATTGGCAACTCAGGAATTCAGGTGTCAAAATCTTCTCCTGAAGGTCACTATCTTCAGCTGTTATTCTAAAGACCAGATAAAAACTCTGGAGGAAATGCTACAACAGCAACTGTAGTATTACTCAAAACAGTGTGCACACCTTTATCTTGGTGTATTTCAATAATAGATCTGTAAAACTGTAAACACTGTGAGAATCCTGACCCTGTGATATGTGTCCTTCTCACGCAGACATGGGTCCCTCAAAAATTAAGACATTACTCCATGTAGCTTCTGAATCTAGCTGAGATGGGAACTTGCACTGAGCAGCCCAGCATATGGCCACTGTGTGTCTGTGCAAATGCACAAAAGCAGAGCTCAACCACCAGGTCAGTGCAGGCACTTCCAAGTGCAAAAGTTCACATGGGAACACAGGTCCAAGTATTTTAGGTTTGGATAAAGGATGGAGTTTGTTGGATTTTTTTGAGGGCGAGGACTAAGGTTGAAGGATTAACATCCATCTATGTCTACTTCAGTTGCCATTTTCCTCTTTAAATCTGCTCTCATCAAAAAACTTGGTAAGACTGGAAACCAGTTCCAGAGAATTTAGAAATCTGAGTTACATCACTGACAAAATATTTTTACATATAGCCAAGCCTCACCACCTCCTCAAAAAACACCAACAGAGAGAACCAGGACCAGTCCTCTTTGTCATTCAAGAATTGAAGAGAACACTTCTGTAAATGTTCTTACCTGTAGGCTAGTAATAGTAAAATTTGCTATGAGGCGGATGACTTCTGGGTAATCTTTCACCATTACTAGCTCTCCTAGTTGATAGTTTGTCTTTAGCCGAGCCAAAAACCGACAGAATTCATGGTAATTACCTGGATCAGATAAACCCTACATTTGAAAAAGCAAATTTTTAAAAGTTAAAGCTTAATCTAATAAAAATTCTTCAAGCATTGCTCCTAATTGGGTGACAATTTTATTTGCATAGGGGTTTTGCTTTGTTTTGAATAGAAAACGAAAGCAGACATTTGTCTGGCTGAAAGTAGTTTTGATAAGATTCAGTAAATTTGTGATTACTGGAACTCGAAAAAACAAATCTGCAGATGTTTCAGCACTTCATATAAATAAAAAGTAAAAAGATACCTGTGGATTTTCAAGTATTTGTTTCATTCCTTTGATTAGATTACCAAGATATTTGGCACGTTCTGGATTGCTGAACAAAGATCTCCTCGTAGAAGCAAACTGAACTAAACAAGAAAGTGCCTGAAGAATAAAAAAAAGGTACGGTGAGATTAAAGGTTTTAAACTTTTAGAATAATCATCTCCATGTTTGGAGCAATCCAACCTACTCCTGTCTGTTGAACATTCCGTGGCTGAGTAATATTTTTATACAATCACTGAATACAAACATGGCTTGGTTTTACAATTCCCTTTCAAAACAGCTTCTGATTTCATCAAAATCACGAGGTGGGTGTTTTCTATGTGGCTGAGTAGTGCTGAACTGGGACAGGAAGGACTTCAATGCTTTCAGGTTCAGAAATGAAAGCTGGGGCTGAAGTTCAAAGAAAAGATACTGTGAGCAGGCACTGAGCCAGAGGACAGACTAATAACGTGGTAACGCACAGAAGAACACAGGGTCTTTTGTGCAAAGAACAGATGTAAAAAGACTGTTTTCCATAATTGAGTGTAAATCACTACATATCACTTACTAACTGAGACAGCATCGGTGGAAGGGAATGATACAAATCAAAAAACAGGTCCAACGTCTCTGGCTCCAGGAAAACTATGGAAAAAGAGAAATTGGTTTTATCACTCTCTACAAGCAATACTTAAGTATCATTATTTTAATAGAATAATATTCTTTTTTTAAAAAACCACAACAGTATGAGTGGCATACCACTGTAGTCAAGAATAAACTATTAATAGATGCATGATTTAGTTCACAGTACAATATTAAACAAAGCACTATTTATCACATTTAATCTATCCTATAGCTCATAGAGAAGACTTCCCTTGAGCTGCAGATGATGCAATATATTGTCACCTGCTTACAGAACACTGCTCTGTAGCAGATGTAGGTAAATTGGTATCTTCAGGCTCCTACAGTAGTACAGTGGTTCCAGATACTAACAATTAATTTAGCCTGTATTTAAAGAAAGGCAATTTGTTAACAAAAGTTCCACAGACTAATTCTACAGACGGATAAACAGAAAAAAATACTTTAAACACTGAGCCACCAATTCACTATGGAATCACACCAAATGAACTATAATATTATCCTGTTTTATGAAGGGGTAACAACAAGGTAGAAGTTCACCAATAATTCATAATAAAAGTAATCTCACAAGTCAAGTAGCCTTTCAAAGTAATTCCATTTATAAGCATTATTTTATATGAAGATTTGTGTAAAATAAAGCATCATATAATAAAGGGTAATTTCCTTAGGTACTCTTTGTGTTTAATGCCTAAAGGGTGATGCCTCCATGAACATTTTAAACTATATAAAGCAAAACTTTGGGAAAACCTGCCCCCTTCTACTGCCTAGGGGGGTCTTGGGAAATGACTGTCACTTGCCCAAATTCAGCTTTTTGTCAGTATTCCCCTGCTTGCCATATGTTACTGCTCTTCTTCCCTCACACTGTGATTGGAGGCAAAGGAATGAAGTTATGTATGGAAACTGATGAAGAAATAAGGAGGAATATCAAACACTACAGAGTGTCATGCTATACAGCTAAACCAGATTACAACCACCCATCTTTGGAGGGGGAATCATGTAGCTGCTTTAGCAATCCAATCAGGCTCATTTACTTTGCCAAGAACCAGGATAAATTAGCCTACAAGGAGCTCCATGCTGCTAGTGCTAAACCATGTCCATTACCCAGGGTAATTTCATTAAAGCTAGCTTGGACACATTTATACTAGACTGCCATCTGCACTGCTAAGCCCAGGAAGTCAAACCTCTAGAGTCTAAGAGCCAAGATGCCAACCCTTCTGCTGCCTTCATTGACAAGCTCACATACAGCAAACTAAAAAAGGGTCACATTTTTCTCCTAATGAAAAAGACAAGAGAAAACAGGCTTGCTACATATGCTGTACCTCTTAAAGGTGCTCATATGGCAGGGCTGAGAATTGCATTCAGTGCCTAATTAGAGTAATTTGATCTACTGTGAATATCTTCGTTGTAGACTACATTTATTATTTCTGTCTGTAAAAGTAACTATAGGAAAAATGTGAGAGAAATAGCAGAAGTTTTACCAATAACTCACCAGCAAAAAACTTCACTCCACATTAGAAATTGTATTTGCAAGGACTGTAACTAAAGAAGTGACACAACCCACTGGGTATAGACATCAGACCACCAGCAGGTATGATCTTTTCTTACTTGTTCTCCAGCTGGTTGGAATCTGCACAGTGCATAGGTCATCTGCAGATTCATCAGCTGAATTTCCAATGAAATCAAAATTAAGACAGTTTAGTACAAGCTTCAAAAGTTGCATGGCTAGACTTTGCTGCCGTTGGTCCTGAAGGGCTACAGGTTTTGCCAAGAGCTAAGGAGAAAAGAAATCTTGTCAGGTCACCTGCACAGAACATGCTTGAAAAACGATTTTGAAATGAAATTTTTTTTAATATAAAAATGTGAAGTTTAGAGCAAAAGAACTCATACTACAAGAAAAATAAATCCTTCAACAATGTAAGGTAGAGTATTCCCTTAAAGACAAAGGGGACTATTATGATTACCTCCTCAGAGACATCTGCCACGTCAAGCTAAAGCTCTCAGAAATATTTTTTAAAGCCTGGTGGAATGATCCTTTTGCATAAAATACATATAGCTAAAACTCAGCATGTCACTGTTAAAACAGTGCTAACATTCACTGCAAATATTAAACCATAAAGTTTTATGGCTTTCTCTTTCAGTTACTCCAGACCAGCATCAAGTCTATGTCATACATATCATATGGATACAAAATATCTCAACAACTGGTTATATATTTCAGTTTGATGTCCAGGCTGCTAAGCAGTATGAGTTCCACAGTATGCATGCTCAAAGGCTGCTCCTTTGGTAAGTCTAGAAAAACCTGGCACTAAAAACCAATGAAGTGAACTGTCTGTGATCTGTAGCTATTACAACACCTGTAGAAACCCACCTGTCAGTGTCTTTACTGCTTTCTAACCCCTCTGGTGTCAGAATAAAAAGGTACTTGGTAAGCAAAATCAGCTCTTGGGATTTGGAAGCCTATACTCAACATACTGTGCAGAAGAACCCAATTCTATCCATCTTCTTCTCTAATAATTTAAATGACATTTTGTCTTAAAGAAGTAACTACTTCAATATTAAATATACAACATAAAGGTGCTGAAAACAAACCTCAGATTCATTAGTCACTAATGCAATTCATTAACATTAAAAAGAAAACTGACATAGTTTGGTCTAGAAAAACAAGAAAATAAATGCAACTTTATCTAGTTCATCTGCTCCTTATTTAGATTCAAAGTCACATCTCAATTTTATTAAAAAAAGTTTTAAAACTACATTACAGGAATCAAAACCAACTATGAGCCATGAGATGCCTCATTAACTTGACAATTACTGTAGCATCACATAGGAATTGACACTAAATGATTAATTCAGCTTTGAAATCAACACTGAATTTCTGTATATCTCGTATAAACATAACTTGTTTTGCCACCAATCCTCTGTAACTTTTAAACCCTTGGAATTATTTTAGTGATTCCATAATTGTTAGTTGAGTGTATTTTTCAATATATTACAGATACTGAGACATATTTCTAAAAGCAGCTTTGTATACTCATATAAGTTGGCATTAAAAAGACACCAGTTATAGTGTTCTTTGGTTTTTCTCTGGAAATCCACATGATGTCATTCAGACAAACTTTTAATTATATGAGAGACCACAAAAGTACCCGCAGACCAGCTGAACTTGAAGTGGCTGCTGCAGGATACAGGTTCTCAAAAATACATTTACTGTTTTAAAGTGTAATGGGGTTTACTATTTCTAACAAGATTCTTCCAAGAATATCCAGTTCTTCTTTTAAATTGTATAGTATTTCTCTGTTAATATCCAATTCCAACTGTGATTTTAAAAAAACATGTGAACATTAGCAGAGCATTACCTCTCTAGAGGTGAGGGCTTACAGATTGTTTAATTGCTCTCTACATTAAAAAATATACTGCCTGTCACCTGAGCCCTAGTAGCTGAGCACATGTGCCCTTTAAACCTCATGCAAAACATACTGTGAAAGAAATTTAAGCTAACATAGTTTATCTCATTTTTTTACAGCAGTACTTCAATCACAATTGTCAACCTTGAGAATGACACCTTTAGTCAAAAAGGAATCAGTGCCATTATGTACTGACCCACTGTGATGGCATCTGTGTTTAAATTCTCAGCTTCAACACCTGTGTCCAAATTTCAACACCTAATTTGATTTTCAGAAAAACTGAATAAACCAGAACTCCCAAATAAGTCAAAAGAAATAGAAATAGAATTCAGGCAACACTTCAAAAATAAGCTCTTCTCAAAGGCAAGGAGCTGCTTGATCTTAAGAGAAGCAGAATGGCACCTCCTGGTGCCCCTCCCACTGCTATGGAAGGTCTGCATCAGCACTAAATGCAACCTGCAAATTCCAGCTTTGATCATAGTTCAACCTACCTAGTCCTGAGAGATCTACCTTACAGCAGGCTGCTCTTCAGCACCTCCTGGCAAGGCTCTTGAGAGGCTGCAACCTGAACTACCCCCAAGTGTTACAGAGATGATAAGGGAACTAATGATGGAGAAAAACACCTTGGCCAGATTTCACTCTGCTGCCATACCACAAGGCAGAGAATTGGTCTTTCCTCTTGGTAGTCCCTAGTTTAATAAATAAATCTTTTAGCAAATATTGAGATGGTAGGGCCAGCAAAACTGAGATGCAATTAAGAGAAATATCAAAAAAGAAGCTAAGCTCAGAATTTTGCTAGCTCATCCTTTATAACAAGATGGAAAGAGAGAGATGGCATAGAGAGAAAGATTGAGAGACAGCAAGAGAGACACAAAGGGAGGAAGATTAGAATTTGTGTCTTTGAACAATTTTTGGTTGCTTGAGCTTAACAGGATGTCATATAACCCATTTAGTACAGAAGTCATCAACTCAGAACTTGTTAAGGACTCAAACTGGGACAACTAGGATGTTAACAATTTAGGCTGTATTATAAAGAGCCTCACCTCCTTCAAAAGAGAGCACCCAAGCATCAGTATGTCCTTTAGAGAGGTGTCACGGAACGAGGTAGCTATTTTACGATGTTTTGCTGAAGGTCTTGAATAATCAACCTAAGAAAAGTTAGGAGACAATAAACAATGCTCCCTTCTTTGCTAAAACCAGATGATAGGTGTACTGGCAGATTAACTACTTTATACTAGACATGAAAATTATGGTCAAGCACTAAATCTAGAACTTGGGAGCTTCTTGAAGCACCTCCTTTTCTTGCTTCAAGGCTGTGTTTCTGGATGGAAAGGTCTGAGGCACTTCCTCAGGTTAAGATATGGGCACAAAGAAAATTGTTAGCAGAAATACAATTGAAAAAAGCTGATCATTCACTTTGTTGTAGTAGTTGTAGTGAATGTGGTAAGAGAAACTTTACCCCATCTCAGGGTGCACACGGAGTCCTTGCACTAAGAATTTCTTGTCTCCGTGTATTGTGGCAGGTGGAGGAAAGTGTGTTAATCCTTTCTGTCTAAGAAATGTTTCTCCAACCATTTTTATGAAGGCCAGAACCATCTAACACACTGCTTTGCTAGGAAAACAGACAACCCTTACAGAAGGAAAAAAATAAACATGCTTACTAGATTCATTTCCTGAGTCAGTTCTGAGAGAATCATTACTCCTATTATATAATGGTCCACAGTGCCCTACAGAAAAAAACAGATAGGATTGCTCAAACATCACAGCTTGTATTCAGTATTTTCCAACATCTCTAGAATCAAGAGGAAATTTTATGCTGAGATATCAGAAGGCTTTCATGTCAAATTCTGTCATTAATTAAATCAACATTACAAGCACTAGACCTTCCAACTCCCTAATTAGTGCTGGAAAAAAATCCCACCTCATCATAAATGTTAAGAATTGCATGATAACAAAACCCATCTGAAAATAGACCCTTATCTGGAAACTCACTTTTTATACATTTCTCAAAGGTCTGTTCAGCATTCTAGAACTACTAAGGCAAGCTGCATGACATTCAAACCATGAAAAAAATTAAGCTGTGCATGGATGAAGAAGATCATAGGGCATTCTCAGAAAACAAACAAATAACAGTTTTTAAATGTTACCTATAAAAAAAACCCCACTAATTCTCTTCCTTCCATGGTAGTGTACAATGCATTGGTTTGAACCGAAGCATATATTCCATCTCTAAGAACATGTGTCTAGAAACTAGGGCAGTAGGTGTCAAGTATTTGTATCTGTGAGTCATCAGTATATAAGGACCTTGGAATGTTTTAAAATTCAGATTTCGAGTAGAATTTGCATGTAATTAATAAGATTTTGCTGTCTGCACTGAGCTACTACAAAACTTTTATACAAAAATTAAATCTGCTTTGTTAAGAACAATTAAAACCACTTGCATTTAGACTTTGTGTTGAGTCAGAGAGATCTCTTTATCTACTTGCCCAGCTGCAGTTGGCACCCTCAGCTACCCAGGTGTCCAAAAAGCAATGTCATCCTTGTCAAAATTTCCCTGATATTTGTCACAATCACACTCATTTTTGCAACTCTGAAGATCACCCAAAGTTCAAATAATGAAGAATCTGGCTACTTACTAGGGGGGCTAAGTTTTCTCTATCATCTAGTTTGGATTATCATTTGCACCAAAGCAAATGAAAAGGGAAGATTTCAGAGAACTCTCAAGCAAAACTTGTTGCACTGTCTGCATCCAGAAAGGTTAAACATCTTACACTGTAATTTGAACACAACTTTCTTTCACATTTCAAACTTTTACAATAGTCTGGATGAATGGTCCTTAGATCACACAAACCTGCAAGAACAGAAAATGCACCTTGCTCTTTTTCACACAGGTGTGAAAACCTGTGTGGTGAATGATGAAGGAGTTGGGAACAGAAGTGCAGACTTAGCTGCTAAGCCCTTTTGCTGTATTAAATCACACTTAAATTCACACTGGATGAACTTTAATCTGGAGTGCTAATGTATATGTATTTAAAAATACCACATGCTAATTTTTAACATATATCAGTATTGTTTAGGGATTATTTTTCCAATGTTTATCTAAAATTTAATTTGCTAGTAGATCTATAGCTTAATTTTCTTTTCTACAGGAATTCTTAATTTAACTAAAGAAATCTCTTAAGATGATGAATTTTGTATTTAAATCTCTATTTTTAATGAGCTGCACACTGAAGAGTCACACTGCAATCATTTTAATAATAAATGCAAAATCCAATTACAGTACATTCATAAAAATAACAGCAAAATGGTTGAGAAGTGTACTTGAGTTTGTTTTTAATAAACAGAATATTGCAACTTATCTTTTATTAGACATTCCCAATGTAACTCACAAAAGTACATTAGCTTGAACAGCATTATTAACAAAGTAAGACTGAAAAACAAATGAGAAACTCATTGGCAAGAAACATTAACTGTTAACTTAATATTTTCTTGTTGAATTGCCAGGATCACCAACACATACACACGTAATGGATCATTTTGGAAGTAAATCTCAAAATAGCGTAATTGTTCTGATTGCTTTTTATCCAAATTAGTACTAGGCTTTATATTTATCCAGACATTCAGAAAGATTCATCTGTTTTAACTTCCAAAGCAGATATGCCATCTGCCAGAAAACTTTTTAAAAACCTTTTTATACATGTTAAATGCATGAAATAACCAAGTCTGGCTAATGAGCCACGACACCCAACAGCTTCCTCCAAAGATACTTCACAGAAGATACTGTGTATCCTGCCACTATGTCTGACAGATGTGACACATACATTTGCATAGTGAGCAGTGTATAGTGATTGCACTCTGACATTAGGAGGTTATTTCCAGTTTTCAAATACTAGGTACCAAGGATACCTCTCTATCCTGGAATGCATATTGTTTGCGACAGTGGGAAAACAGGACACAGAGTGGAAGGAAGTGTAAAACAAGAATATTCCTTCCAACCACTTATTGGAGTGGGAAGATGAGTGATCTTTCCACCCAAGCTTCCCCATATTTCTACCTAAAATGCATCACTTTTGTGATGCTAGATTTAAATACATAAGCTAAAATAGGTAAAGTCGTAAAAACACTCTAAATTTATTATCTCTCTCCCTCTATTGTACATCATAGTTCTAGAGAGATAGAATGTCTTTTTCGATTTTCTCCTTCACTCCTCTTTACATGCATGGAGAGAGAACATACATGTTCTAAGTACCCATGCACACACATACGAATCAACAACTTCTTATGAAGTAAAAAAGTCATGGGGCAAACAAGGACCACAACCACATAACAAGTATATACAGTGTCTTGCAATTTCATATGCCACAGCTCTGTCTTTACACAAGCTCCACCAAATAACTTCAGGGGTATCATCTAGTGACTTCTGCTGAAAACAGAAGTACAGGTGAAGTCCCACTGCTTATACAGAAAAGCACCAACGTAAGATCATAACAGTGACCTCTCCAACAAACAGTTTATAAAGGCATCTTTTTGATCCACCCTCCATGACAGGCACGTAAAAAAATGCATTTGAACCACTTTTAGAACTGAGCAATTTGACACAAATGTAGCAGTCATCATCCCAAGAATAACATGCTTTAGAACAGTCTTCCCAGGCAGGGAACTGGAGCTAACACTATCAGCAATGTATCTCTGCATCAGCTAAAAATTAAGGCATTAAATAGAATCTCTTGACAACAGGGGCTGATGTTTTACAACCACACTACAAAACAACAAGCACTTTGGAAAAAGAAAACCAACCAAAATCCATGACAGCACTATGAGACCTATGAGACACCAAACCCCACAGACTTGCACAGTGTCAGCCTCTCCCTGGTTCTTCACTGCAGGGCCATCTTCTGTTTTATGCCAATGCTCTTCCCACACTTTTTCCACTCAAGTGTATAAAAACTAACTGACATGACATGCCAACCACTAAAAATGAAGAGATCCAAACAGAAAAAAATGGCAGAAGTGAGCGATTGTTTCCTACCTGCAAAAATTTTTTTACATCAGCAATAATGTCTCTGAAGATGAGATGATCTTTCAGTACCTCAAACCATCCTAATTTTGTCATTTTAGCAATGACTTGAACAAGAGCTTGGATGACAAAAGGAGCCAGTTTGGGTTGAGATGCTACATAGTTCAGAATGTAATTTCCTGTAAAGGAGGATTTTAAAATCAGCAACACAAGTCTTTTTGTAAAGAAAATTAATTCAATTGTTCTAACAAAAAATTAAGGCATGGATTGTTTTAAAAAAGCTATATTCCTATGGTTGGTACAATAACTGTAAGTTAATTTAAATCACTGAATACAGCTAAACATTTAGTACCAAAAAACACATGACATACATGACCATTATTCTAGGACACATAACAGAGAACAATGGCAGGTAAACAGAGTAATTTTTCATTACAGTCCCATATAATGGGCACTGATTATATCACTATGTAACAGCAGCTCTCAGTCAACTCAAGACACACAGAAGGTTTTTTTTCAGACAAGAGCCCCTGCTGAATGTTCTCCATTCAATCTAGAACATCCCATGTTCCAGATGCACACTGTAATGCACATTGCAGCTGCAGAAACTCCTCCCTAACTAAAGGGAAGTTAGCCTGTTCCAAAAGCTGTTGAAGTATATAAAATTAAAGTTGATTACAGTTAATTTCTACCTAAAAGAACATAGAAATCTTTTATCAGAAGAAGCAGATCTCAGCTGTGCATATCAGAGTACTGCTATCCACAGAACTGATACAATATAGCAATTACTTTAACACAGAACCCAAACATTTTGTAGAGTCTTAATCCTCCAGGTAAGACCCTGCCCTGGCATGACTTTTACAAATTTTAAGAGCTGATCATGAGCTCTTATGTGTAAATCACCAGCAGGTGTACTAGCAGTATCTGCAACTTTGATTCCTTACAAACATTAACTCTTTAGTGTCTTGTGGGATAAATACAAAGTCTAGCTTGAAAAATCCGTATTTTTAAAAAACACAAAGTAATTTAAGCTAACATTTATCCAAATTTTGAAACTCAGAAATGCTGTTTGTAAGCTGATTGCAGAGAAATTATGAAAGAGCTCATGATCACCTTTATATTTACTCCCTCACAATGACTACCTTATAACAGGCTTGGTAAATGGAGAGAACTAGAGAAAAAACAGGTATCCACATAAAGGTTTCAGTTCTAACATGAAGTTTCAGATCCAACAAATGTAAACAAACTTGTACAACCAAGGTGACTTACGAATATCAATCCTTTGCTCAATAGGTAGTGGGGATGCTCTGCTTACAAGCTTAGACAGGCATGTGGCTGCTAGGAGCTGAGCATAGGAGGTCTACAAACACACAACAAAATATATTACTCAAAAATAGGCTAATTAAAGGCAGGGAAAAGTCAAAACCTGATCAATAATCAATAAAGCAGACTGGTTATCAGATATTGGTTATGTTTGTTAAGTGCACCAAAATTTTCTAAAATATGTATTTTTAGCAATATCTTTGCTTCATTATAAGCAAAGATAAATTACAGAACACTGATAAAATAGTGGTGACCTAGAACTGTCATCCCCTTTGATGGACGGAATTGCTTTTATCTAAAAGCAATTTCATTATTCAGTGGAGTTCTTTAGTTTTGAAACCTGTTTTTAAATCACTTGATAATTTAGAAGCACAAGATGATTACATGGGTCCAGCCCTGGATTAAAGATATTTTCAGATGTGCCTCCTCTTTTTCTTTCTCTCTTGTTTTGAGTGATTTGATAAACAAAGCAAGAATTCTAGTGGACTTAGCTTGGAATATCAAATCAGAGTCAACTCCCCTATCACTTTATCTAGAGTTAGCCATGAAATTAACCACCAAAAACGAGTATTGATAAGAAAATAGAAAAGCAGTTTAAGGTTTTTTTTTTAAAAAATACATTGCCCTTTTCATTGTAGCTAATAGCTAGAAACAAGAAGGTGACATTCCAGCACTGGGTTACACCACACTGTGTCCTGACACTGCTGCATGGATGATACAATCCCTGATTACAATCCTTCTGGAAGTACTGAGAGCTAAGATGCCTTCCCTCTCTGTTCCTGACATCTCTAACACAATATATTGTTACTTCTACCAAGACCACCTCCAAACGACAAATATTCTAGGATAATTTATGAAACAGAGGGAAAAGCATTTTGCCTTTATTGTACTGACATGGTAATGGTCCATGACTGAGAAACCTATGTGAGCTTCCATGAGCATGGTGACATGTCTGGTGGCAGACACTTACCGTTCCTTGCTCTAGCAGAAGCTGGCACTGGCTAAGGCATTCTGGGCTCTCAATGAGCTCCAAGAGCACCTTCTCAGCTTGCACTCGTTGGGCTAGATCAGTTCCTTCATACAGGTGGTTACATAGTACTTCTAGTTCTGCCAGAGTCTGCTGGGAAAGAACACAATTGAAACTTACATAAAGAGTTCTTAACCATGTAAGATTTCTTCAAGTGTTTATAAACCTAGATACTCTGTCAGTAAGGTGAACTGCTACCTATGCTAAGCTTTCCAATTGAGCCACATTTAAGTTACCAAAACACAGGAGGCATTCTGTGACCAGAAGGCAAACATAATTCCGCAAATTAAGTTGCCTTTTCTTATTGTCTCAGCTAGTAAAGTATTTTTCAGTATGATTCAATCCATCTGTTTCTCTGAGTTTTCAGATGGGAAGCCCATAGCTTTTCCAAAGAGAGGTGAAAAGATGGAGAACAGTGACCAATTTGAGCTATGCTACTTGCAAAACTTCTGGCAAATTTCATTTAAAAAGCTGTAATTCTTAATTAAATTCCTACACCTGGAAAAAATTAGCATTGTGTATAGCTATTGATGCAAATATCAGTAAAAGACAGGGCAAGTCAGAAGCTACAGTAGCAAAAGAAGATCTGCAATTCCTCTTAGAAGATGAAAAAGTTCTCTTCGGTAAAGACAGTGTATGGGTTGAGAATCTCTCCCTCCTATGTGACAGATATTATTTGTATCTACAAGTCCCTGTCTCACAGGAGAAATGAACCCTTTGAGCATGTTTCACAATCATTACACAAACTGAAGTTTTAGAATCCACCAGGTTCCCAGTTTACAGAACTCTCATCAAGAACCAGCTGCATCATTAGAAGGAACCCAGTAAATATTTCATTACTTCAGTGTGGCCTAGAAAGAACAGTAAAAGGGAACACACAGTATCTGACCAGCCTCTTTTATAAGTTTGAGTCAAAATCCCATCCACCAGTGCTTCCAAAAAGATGTTTTGTACTTGAAATAAAAAACTTGGTTCAGCATAATCAAGCATCACTTTTACCATAGTCCAAATGCCTTTCAAAAAATCCAAGCCAGTAATAGTGTATCTGGCAGCCAAAGCACATTTGGTGTTGTCAAAGTGTGTCATTTCCTAGTGACAAGCTTATTATTAAAAATCAAATCAAATCATGGTCTTTTCCCCATGTTTGCTGTTGCTGCTGTGCATGTGGTGTTCCTGGCTTTGATTTCTGAATTTCAGTAGTAATGACAGCTTAAGAGTCCCCGATTTTCAGTCAAAAAGTAGCCATGTACTTGTTTCTTGGGAGAAGTATTAAGAAATAGCAGGTTTGCTTCTGAAATGAACAGAGCAAACGCCTTAAAGACTGAGCTAAACAGAGACATTCTTTGTTTTTGTTTTCCCTCCTTGTTCCTGCTCAGAGAGAGTGGAGCAAAAACAAGGAACAGGTAACAATACCAGTAACAAAATTTAAAATTAAGCAAGATCCTTGACAACTAAAGTGAAAATTAAGACTCATAAAACACAAGTGTACACATTAAGGAAATATAAAACAACACAAAAAATACTTCATTGGGGAAAAACATAGGAATAAGGACATCTAGCAAAGACAGCCTGCAGAGATACATTACAATGCATCTTTCCATAATGGAACAATTTCTATACATTCTGAGAAGCACAAACCAAAGCACCCTGTCACAACCAGCAAAAATAAAAGACCCTTCTTTATTTTATCTGAAATTTGACTTTTAAGTCTGGACAAACTTGGCAACAAGTTTGAGAAAGTCCAGAACAGAACTGGGCTATCAGCCCAGTCACAGAGGTCTAAATAACCTGTACAACTAACTGGCATTGAAAGAGCAAACCTCTAAAGGACAATTAGGAAAATCAACAGAAATCTTTAAAGCAAGCTGAATAAAAACTAGATCATTATTTTCTATGAAAAACTGGTTTAATGGACATTGAGAGGGACAGCACTTTGTAATGCTTGATCTGTGCACGTTTGGTCTCAGGAGAATGCCATGACAAAGTTTCTCATTGGTAGGCTTGAGGTATGACCAGAAATTGTTCTGAATTCTCAGACTTCTAAAGAATTGCTCAACATTCTCTGGGTTGTATTTTCCGTGTAGTACTGAGGAAATGTGCTGATTTTCCTTGGTTCAGATAGGGAAACGAAAAAACCCAAACAGCCTTAACTCAGCAAATACAATCATCTGGTGTATGATGGCAACTCAGCTGAGCAACAGCAACATTCAACCTTGTTAAGAAAACAATACCTAGAGAAACCAACCAGAAGTCATAAACTAGCTCTGTATGTGATACATATTTCCTTTAAGAAAACAGAAGACTGTCACAATCCCTTTTTTGTTGTGAGACAACACATGTGAAACTGACCTCCTTTACAAACACTGGTCTGAAAAGTGATTCCTAAGCAAACAATAGTGTCAGGGAAGAGGACCCAGCAGTCAGATGCTGGCTGCTTTAAGTGTCAGGAGTGGAAACAAACTGGCATTTTCAATCACAAAGAACTGTAACTTTTTCCCAAGAAACAGCTTCACATTCTAAGGCAACCGGTTAGATACTGTTTGGTGTTTTTTCTTCCCTGCATGCCACACTGTCCAAACATTCAAGAACAAGGTAAATAAAAGTTCTCCAGATGCTTCTGGTCCCACCTCCCCAGCTTGCAGAAGTCCCTGCCAGGCTGTGCAAGAGGCCAGAACTGCTGGGGGCCCGGCTCTGCAGCAACCCACCAGGCAGGCAGCCAAGGAGCCAAGCAAACTGGCAGGGAACCAGGTAGGTTCCTGATTAAAAGTTCTGCTGACACCGACAAATTCCCACAGACGTTTTGATTTTAATCAGCATTTTCTGGCTGAAAACATTCCGCTAAAGGAAAGTTCCCCCGGCTCTACGGCGAGAGCGAGAGGGGTGATGGCTGAAGAAGTGTAAAGAAAAGGGAGGATAAAAACTAAAGGAAAAGCCCCTGTTGATAACAAAGGATGTTTCAGCAGCCCTTTGATGCAGCGCGCCAGGTGCCCGGTTATGTAAATAAACGCCAAGAATGGCCTCTGTAGCACTGCCCGAGCCCACGGAACCCGAGGGATGGATGGCGAACAAACACCTGAGCGCGGCTCTCCTGGGGCTGCTT